ATACTATGTCTTAAATGTGAAGAAGGCTTTGAAACCAATAAGTCTTATTGTGTTCCTATATGTGGAGATGGTATCATTATTTAAGAATTTGAGGATTGTGAAGATTTAAATGATGAACCTTATGATGGTTGTTATGAATGCAAATTTTAATGTAGACAAAATTGTAAATTATGTAGTCAAGGGGTTTGCTTAGATGAATGTCCTGAAGGAATGATTTATGTTGGTGATATTTTTATGCCGAAAAAATGTATTGATAATTGCTAAATTTGTGAGAAAGGAAATTGTTTTGAATGCAATATAGGATATTCTTGTGATGAGTTAAAAGATTAATGTATTTAAGATAAATTATCAGACTCTTCTTTAAATGTATCAATGATTGAAATGGATGAAAACTAATACATATGTCGTCTTACAGAATGTGTTTTTTCACCAGCCCCTATTCTGTAAGTAATCTTAATTAACCAGACTTTTTCAAGATAATATGTGGAGATCTTCTTCGATTAACAAGTTAAATTGAAATTTGATGAAGAAGAATTAAAATTTCAATTCAATTTTACTAATTTAAAGTAAGGAGATTATATTATTACATTGGATTAAAAATAACCAATAGATTATGAAATAAATTTTGCTTCTTACATAGTTGAAATTGAAAATTTAGCCTCAATAAATGAAAAACCATTCTTGCAAATATTTTGCTCTTCAGATGTTATTAATTCTAATAACTAAACCCTTTAAAATAAATTTGCCTCTATCAAATTAAATTACCCTTAAATCTTATCTAATGAATAAAAATAAACATCTTAATTTATGCAAAATACTAATAAAGCATTCATGTATGGAGCTATCTCAGTTAGTTTGGTTTCATTATTTGCAGGAGATTCTTCATTCTTTTTAGAAACACTTACTGTATTATAATAATAATCTTTCTTGAAATTTATTAATGTTGATTACCCTGAAAATCTTTACATTTATTTTGAGGCTTCTGACAAGTTAAGTGTTAGTTCATATTTTAGTTAATTAAATTTGAATTACTATTATAATTTCATATCACAGAAAACAGAACCTCTTTAAAGGAACGGAAAATTTGAACTTTATGATGTAGATCCTGATTTGATTATAAGTTTACTTCCTTAGGTTTTTTAATGTTCAGGTATTGTACTACTTTTGTTTTTGAGCAGATTCATCTATAGGTTATTTCATTTGATTATGTCCAAAAAATAGATCTATGATTACTTTAATTCTAAATCATAATTCTTAATAAAATCATTTTTAACAATATTAAATACTTTGAGAATTTAGATGAAGAATTTGATAAATTTAAGAAGAAATTTTAACTCTAACTATATAAAAATTTTCTTCTCATTAAATGCTTGGGATATACTTTTCAAATCGATATTATAAATTCGCTATATTTAATTAAAGAAGCTAGGGAATATATTCAACTGATAGGTAGTTTTCTATTGATATATACTTATGGTTCATATATGATTGAATTTTTAAGGAAGAAGGGGAAGTCAGAGAATAAATATGATTTTGAATCAAGAATATTTTTATCCTTGGATTTGTGTAGAAAATTTATATACCATTTTGTTTTGATTTTTTTTTAAGAATGCCCTACCTTGTAATTTTTATGTTTATCAATTATCAGCCTATCTTAATGCTTGATTATTAGCAAATATGAAGAAAGTTCGATTTTGGATAAAATAATTTCAATACTAAATGAAGGAACTATAGCTATGTTTAGCTTAACCTGCTTTCCTTATAATGATATAAATAGGATATACTTTTCTAATGAAACTATCAAAAGTACAGGATTTATACATATGGGCCTTCTATTATTAAATTTGATGAATGTGCTTTTTAAATAATTGTTAATAAAATTGTAGTTTATTTTAAAGGGCTTGTATGCAAGAAAATAACCAGAACAAATAAAGAATATAATTCTAAATTTTTGATCAGACCTTGGCTAATGATGATAATTTTGTATTCATTATTAAAATTTAACAAAATTTAATTCTATTTATCAATCAATCTAATTATAAAGTTATTGAGTACATTAAAAATAAATAATCTAAAATGAAATATATTTTGGGTCGCTTTTAAATATAAATCTAATGCAATTTTTATGTTAGGCTATTATATTATAAACTTCTAATTAATGAATTTCTTAAAAATTAAAAGTATTCAATATGAATCTATTGTCTATTCTTTCGAAAATTTAACTAAGTTAAGAAATTATTTTGCTCAGTAGAATATTTATGAGACTGGAGAAATTGAATGAACCTAAAAGCTAGAATTAAATTGATACTTTATATCTTTTCTCATAATGAGTAAAGATAAGGTATTTACTCTTTTTTATTAATTATGATCTTGTTTTCTTAAATATTTTTAACAGAAAAAAATATCTAATGGAAAATAATTATTTATTTGAAAGAATTTTGATTTGTATATCAGTTTATTTTTATGCATATTCTAAGCTATTACTTTTAAGGTTCATTATTATTTTAAGTTCAAGCCCCTTAGAAATTTTCCATATATAATTAAAATTTTTGAAACTACTGAATTTCATAGCGCCATGATTTTGTCTCTCGTTAAATGATTTTCTACAACATACAATCCATGAAAAGCCATAGCTCAAGTAAGCATCATTGATACGCGCATAAATTTTTTAATAAAAATTCTGAAAAGAAAGAATAGCTTTAGAAAATGAATTGGCCTTTCACATTTTTAACACAGGAGATCCATAAAAATAGAATTTTATAAACGGTTCTGTTCATTTAAAGTTATTCATCCAAAATTTTAGTTCCAACTTTTGATTATAAACTCTCTCTCTTCTTTATTTCTTAATTCTATCAGCATATGCCCATCCCAATTCCAGAAATTTACAAAGATGATATTTTATATCGATATATGTCTCATCTTTTATTTTNTTGGATAAAATAATTTCAATACTAAATGAAGGAACTATAGCTTTGTTTAGCTTAACCTGCTTTCCTTATAATGATATAAATAGGATATACTTTTCTAATGAAACTATCAAAAGTACAGGATTCATACATATGGGCCTTCTATTATTAAATTTGATTATTGTACTTTTCAAATAATTGTTAATAAAATTGTAGTTTATTTTAAAGGGCTTGTATGCAAGAAAATAACCAGAAAAAATAAAGAATATAATTCTAAATTTTTGATCAGATCTTGGCTAATGATGATAATTTTGTATTCATTATTAAAATTTAACAAAATTTAATTCTATTTATCAATCAATCTAATTATAAAGTTATCGAGTACATAAAAAATAAATAATCTAAAATGAAATATATTTTGGGTCGCTTTTAAGTATAAATCTAATGCAATTTTTATGTTAGGCTATTATATTATAAACTTCTAATTAATGAATTTCTTAAAAATACTTAAAATTAAAAGTATTCAATATGAATCTCTTGTCTATTCTTTCGAAAATTTAACTAAGTTAAGAAATTATTTTGCTTTGTAGAATATTTATGAGACGGGAGAAATCGAATGAACCTAAAAGCTAGAATTAAATTGATAATTTATATCTTTTCTCATAATGAGTAAATATAAGGTATTTACTCTTTTTTATTAATTATGATCTTGTTTTCCAACTTGTTAAATATTTTTAACAGAAAAAAATATCTAATGGAAAATAATTATGTATTTGAAAGAATTTTGATTTGTATATCAGATTATTTTTATGCATATTCTAAGCTATTACAGTATTTTTTTAATATTTTATCTGATATGTCAAGTAGTTAAAAAAATTTTTTTATTTCTCATCCCTAATCCTTCTATATTCTTTATTAATTAATCTTATCTAGCATATTCTTCCACTTACTTAATTTTACTAAATTATGGATCATTTATTGATGTTAAATTTTAAGTTCAAGCCCCTTAGAAATTTTCCATATATAATTAAAAATTTTGAAACAAAAGGATAGATTTAAAGAAAAAGTATCCTTACTTATTCTCTTTGGGTGTACCTGAATTTCATAGCGCCATGATTTTGTCTCACTTTAAATGATTTTCTACAACATACAATCCATGAAAAGCCATGCTTGGATTATTTTCTTTTGTTAATTACAAAGATGATATTAGCATATCGTATCCTTATCAAGGGATCCTCCAAACATTTTGCCAAGAATCTGAATGGTTGTTCGTTAAATTATATTATATATTTCAGATCTGATGTAATCATTTCTAACAAATTATATTATGTGTCTGAGCGACTAGCTCCCCAAGTAAGCATCATTGATGACGCGCATAAATTTTGTAATAAAAATTCTGAAAAGAAAGAAAGAATAGCTTTAGAAAACGAATTAGTCTTTCACATTTTTAACACAGGAGATCCTGGAAAAATAGAAATTTATAAACGGTTCTGTTCATATAAAGTTATTCATCTTAAATTTTAGTTCCAACTTTTGATTGTAAACACTCTCTTCTTTATTTCTTAATTCTATCAGCATATGCCCATCCCAATTCCAGAAATTTACAAAGATGATATTTTATGTCGATATAGGTCTCATCTTCTATTTTAGCAAAATCCTTAGCTTTCTAAATTAAAAAGTAAATGGTCTAAGCAATTTTCATAAATTTATACTTCATTTTACAGATGATCCAAAAAAGTAGAAAAAATTTAGTAGTTTAGAAACTAAAAAAAAGTTATCACTCAAGAAAAGATATTGGATTTTTTAATCAACAACCATATTAGATCTAAATCATAGATATAAGCATTGATGTTTCTTTAAATAAGGATAATTTTCGTATATAAAAGAAAATAAGGAATACTTGAAAAAAGAATGGTCATTAGAACTTTTTTGAAAATTACAAAATCTATTTTGAAAAATTTATTTGACAACTTATTGAAAGAGAATATTTAATATGAGTTGCTTGCTTTATTTTACCTCGTTTAGGAACTACTGTAGAAAAATATTGCTGATCGAAATAGAAGTATATAATAACTATATCATAAGAACAATAGTCTGATTTCAGGGTCACAATCAAGTAAAATGCCAAGAAGAAATTTTGGTGTTAAGAAATCAGATAAGAGTGAAAAGTATAAGCCAAAAAATTTCTTAGAAAAATTAGTATAAAAGCTGTTAATCCCTTATACAAGATAGTAAAGAAAAATCTTTAATTGGAAAACTAAAAACTATTTAATCATTTCAATAAAGTTTAGAAAACCAAATTATATGGATGATTTAATGAATATCGACCATCGCGATGAAATATTGAAATTCATATGAAAGGGAAAATTGAAGAAAACGAAAATCAATCTAGTTGTAATATGAAATCAAAAGAAGGCTCTAAAATAATATAAAATCACAAAGAACCAAAAGGAAAGTAATTGTACTTAGAGAAAATATTTTACAGAAAGAGCCAATCAAACCTAAAATAAAGGATATAAGCAAAGGGAAAAATCATGGCTACGTATTATATAGGCCTGTGCTCATTGAAATAAAAGTGGTAATTAATAGAAATGGTCCGATTAAAAAAGTCATTTGGAATATGATTGAGAAGAACAAATACAATTTTTACGGATTATGGGGTACATATTGCATTTCGCATATATTTATATAAAATTCATAAGGATAATCTTAAATCGAATCTTTAAATTATTTTCAGATTTTATTGGTTTTAGGAAATTTATGGGATGTATTTTGCAAAATAACGGTTAATTTTGTTAAGCTTACTCAGATTTCTAAATTCATTTGGTAATGATTTCTTCTCGCTTTATCTTTAGTAAACATGAATCCTGTACTCATTATACAAATATCCTCATGCTTTTCTTACTTTAGAAAAATCTAGACGATCTTTATTTTTAAAGACTCCATACCAAAAAAAGCAAGGAAGTATATAACCAAATTTAATTAATAATGGTAAGAAAAATGTGATAACCCATTTAACATGTTTAATTGTATCATACTTATAGACCACATTCCCTTAAATCCAATATTCAACTGAAATCTTTCTATAAGATAATAGTGAAATTTTTCCTCCTATTAAATTTGGCTATAAAAATATGAATAAATCAATAAAGATGTATATATATAAGACAATTAAGTCGTGTTTGCTTAGTAATTATTGAATTGCTACTATAGTAAAAATAACTATTATATATTAAGAAGTCATAATTAAGCCAAATTATTTGCTGGTACTTGTAATTAAAAGGTAGAAATAATTGAAATGATTTGAAGAGATTAATACTTTGATAAGAATAGCAGTTAGGACTTCTTATATAGTTACTCTAAATCCAAAAGTCTTCAAGCTTATACCTTTAACAAAATCCTCAATCATTTCTCTAGTGCTACTTACCGACATTAAAGTTGTAATCAAAGTCCTAAGACTTATAAATACCATTGTAATAATATTATAAGCTATTAAATCACAACTTTCTATATGAATAAGCTGAAGTTACAGAATAAGATCCACTTCCTCTTGAATTATATAAATCAGACTCCTCACATAAAGCTCCAATATTTCCTATCATGCTGAATTCGTCTCCAGGTTTCCAACCACTTTTGCAATTCTCCTCCCAATTTTAACAATGCTCAATAGTTAAACTATAATAATATGCTCTATTAATCCTATTATATTTGATTCCTAAGATTTTATGTTTAGAATCATCTTTATTACTACAAGTTTGAGCTGCCTAAGACATTTAATATGATGTTAAAGGTATCATAAAAAACACATCCACCTAAAGTTTGATTAAAGAATTCACCTAATTTAAAAGAAAATGTTCTTAAGTCCACATGTAATTAATAATTTGAGACATAATTATAAGTTAAAAAAGGATGACTCTCTTCTGATTAAGTGATGAAACACTATTGCATTAAATTAACAATAGAAGAACTATATCTTGATTATAAGTAGAGTTTGAAGAAAACAATTAGATTATCTAAATTATAATCACCAGTAGTTTCATTAAATATAACATCATCTTAAGATCGACTAAATTAAGCATCATTTTAATCTTTTTAAGAAATTAAATAATAAGCTTTTGGATATAAATTACAATAGGAATCTTACAACCCCATAATTTATTCCTAAAACTTATCAAAAGCAATATTCCCAAATATAAATTATAAGGAATAAATTTTGATTTGATAGAATCAACAAACCTAGTAATTATCTATTATTATATTAATTAATAATTTTTCTAAGTGGAACCTAATATCTTATATGGATTAATAATAATTTGTTCAATACTCTTTTTNATTTTATTTTTAAAGACTCCATATCACAAAAAGCAAGGAAGTATGCAACCGAATGTAGTTAATAATGATAAGCAAAATTTGATAATCCATTTAGCATGTTTAATTGTATCATACTTATAGACCACATTCCCTTAAATTCAATATTCATAGTGAAATTATTCCTCCTATTTAATTTGGCTATAACAATATGAATAAATCAATAAAGATGTAGATATATAAGAAAAATTAAGTCGTGTTTTAGTAATTATTGAATTGCAACTATAGTAAAAATAAATATTATATATTAAGAAGTCATAATTAAGCCAAATTATTCGAAAGTATATTATCAATATATGTGATATTAAATAAGAAGTAATCTAAAGTATTAGCAAGTGATTGAATATGATTATCAACAGTATTGAAAACTGAGGCTAATCCTGCTGGTACTTGTAATTAAAAGGTAGAAATAATTGAAATTATTTGAAGAGATTAATACTTTGATAAGAATAGCAGTTAGGACTTCTTTTATTGCTACTCTAAATCCAAAAGTCTTCAAGCTTATACCTTTAACAAATTCATCAATCATTTCTCTAGTACTACTTACCGACATTAAAGTTGTAATCAAAGTCCTAAGACTTATAAATATCATTTTGATAATATTATAAGCTATTAAATCACAACTATCTATATGAATAAGCTGAAGTTGCAGAATAAGATCCACTTCCTCTTGAATTATATAAATCACACTCCTCACATAAAGCTCCAATACTGTCTATCATGCACGATTCATCTCCAGGTTTCCAACCACTTTTGCAATTCTCCTCCCAATTTTAACAATGCTCAATAATTAAACTATAATAATATGCTCTCCAATAATGCTCGCTTAATTCTATCATACTTGATTCCTAAGATTTTATTTTTAGAATCATCTTTATAACTACAAGTTTGAGCTGCCGAAGACATTTAATATGATGTTAAATGTATCATAAAAAACACATCCACCTAAAGATTGATTGAAGAATCCACCTAATTTAAAAGAAAATGTTTTTAAGTCCGCATGTAATTAATAATTTGTGACATAATTATAAGTTAAAAAAGGATGACTCTCTTCTGATTAAGGGAATGAAACACTATTGAATTCAATTAACAATAGAAGAACTATATCTTGATTATAAGTAGGATTGAAGAAAACAATTAGATTATCTAAATTATAATCACCAGTAGTTTTATTAAATATAACATCATCTTAAGATCGACTAAATTAAGCATCATTTTAATCTTTTTAAGAAATTAAATAATAAGCTTTTGGATATAAATTACAATAGGAATCTTACAACCCCATAATTTATTCCTAAAACTTATCAAAAGCAATATTCCCAAATATAAATTATAAGGAATAAATTTTGATTTGATAGAATCAACAAACCTAGTAATTATCTATTATTATATTAATTAATAATTTTTCTAAGTGGAACCTAATATCTTATATGGATTAATAATAATTTGTTCAATACTCTTTTTATATATACATAATTGTTATTAAATTGTAAATAATATGCATTTAAATAAAAGAAAAAATGAATTAAATTTAAAATGATTTTCAGTTTTCTTATATCAATATTTCTTTTCTAGCTATGTTTGACCTTCATTAATAGATAATGTTAATGATCTTGGTTTTTCCCTTTAATTATGGTATATTTGAAGTAAATGTGACTTACAGAAATTTAAATAATCAAAAAGTTAAGATGTCTCTAAACTTTTTTATATCCATAACCAAAATAGCTGACAAAAAAATACCTTCATGCTTTCAAAATATTCGTCAATTGATTATTATTATTATTCATAATAAGTTGAAGTTTCTCTAGGTTTTAATGTAAATAATTTGATTATAACATTGTTCATATTTGTTACAAACTACTAAATTTATGGAAATAAATAAGAATAATAATAATTTTCTTATTTTTTGCTAGCTTGTGATTTTTCATAACATATTCTAGTCTAAAAATTATTTTAATTCTTTGAAATAAAGTAGGGATTAACTTCTTTTACTTCTGATTCACCCCTATACATACAGACTTAAAATTAGAAGGACATTGCTAAAAACTTCCATTTTCATTTTAACTTTTAATAAACCCAGAAATAGTTTCTAAACATTAGATAAATGTTGCTTTTCCGTCAATGATTTCATATTTATTACAAATTTAATCACATTATGACATGCATTTTTAATCATATAAAATTAATCCATAGCGACATGATGTGCAAAATAAATTCAAATCTGATTCAGAATTCCTTGATGCATAGTTTTCAAATGGATGATCATTATTATTATTAATAAAAAATTAATAAAATGCTTTAATACTCCATTTCCAATAATCTATATTTTTTATTTTATTAAATGCAAGTCTTACAAATTTTACCACACTAAATAATTTAACCAGAAAGGACTTTTGAAAAATATCCATCCTAACATTCAATATAGAAGAAATCATTTTCTGTGTAATGGGGAATACATAAAATACAATTTGGTATTAAGCAATTAGACACTTAAACAGAATCATAATTTGTTTTATTAATTGGACAGATTTTCTTGTAATCTTCATTTTAGATGATGGCAAATTAAAAATCATTATTCTATTATTTCAACTCGCCTTTATAAATGAATGATAATTCTCTTTGCAAAAACTACAATCTACATTAATACTTATCTAAATTGTAATTTACAACTTTACATTGATATCAAAACTTGTTTGCAATAGAATAATATAATCAAAATAATATATATTGCATAGCCTACTATTCTTTCCATCCATAGATAAATATTATTATGAAGGTGAACCTTGACAATAATTACAGTATCTTGATTGACCGGACTCTTTAATCCCCACAAGATATACATTTCTAACTGATTGTAATTGAATATCCAATACAAAAAGTTCAAGTATAGGTCCCATCTTTATATGTGTAACAACTTAAACAATTTTTGTATAGCAAGCATAATTTGTCCTTACTTAAATAATAATTAGAAAAGCAAACTTCACTTTTGAATGAATTTTTACATGTTTAATTACCCTATCTACAAGGTTAACATTCTTAATCTTCCTGATAGAACCCAGATCTGCAGGTTTATTACTAATACCACCTTGACACAAATTAGGTTTAGGAGTTCCATTTAAATTTGTCAAAATTTTATTAAAATCGACAATCATTTTCCTTTTTTTTATAAATTTAAACCAAATAATCTGAATTTAATAAAAAGTTTGTCCTCTAATTTTACAAGTAATGTTATACCAAAATATTTTGGTAATACCAAAAATAAATATTTATAGTCCAATTAACAAAATTAACTTAATCTATTGAGGGAAAAAATAGAAAGTATTGGCTTTTCATTATTATTCTATGTTCATATTGAATATTGAAAATAATGCCATTATATTAAAAACCTTGGATATTCATCTCCAAGTTATTGTAATTTATAATCTTTATTTGCCTTTTATTTCTTTGTTATAGGAAATTAATATAAATAAGTTGATGTTTAATATCCATTCTCTGCAGGTATTCAACTTTAATAATATTAAATTAATAGATCTCTAATTACTTTTTTACAATCATCACAATAATCTTAATTGTAGTCTCTAATAAAGCCTAAGTTGATTATTTTAACATAATCTAACTTTAAAAACATATCTAGGCCTTTGAAAACTCTAAGAACGAATTTTAAGATATTTCTATCAATTTCTTAATTTTTTCAGCAGCCACATAACTCCAATCTTAAGAAGAGGTTTAATCTTGAATGATTAAACATTCCCACATTAAAAATTTTTTTATACATATTCAGGTAAATCATTTACAACTCTCTTTAAAGTTGTAAATCCTTTTTTGGGTTTATTTATTTTAATCCACATTAGCAGAAACTAAAACCATCTAAAGTTATCATTGCTTTGTATTGCTTTGTTCTATTGAACAAATAAATTGTCCTGCTTCTATAAAAATTTATTCATCTAGTATACTGATATTATAGGAGAAAATGTTGTTAGTAAATGATTAAAATATTTACATACATGCATTTATCTGGTTTCAATTCAATCTTTTGGTCAGGCTTAATCGATAGAAAATTGATTATTGCTTGTGCTTAAATAGGCATAAAACTTGAAAACTAAAAATACTTATAATATATGTATTTTCATACTTAATTAATAAGATGAAAATCATTGAGTAAAAAACATTTAAAAACATTAAAGTCAACTCAGATTCATTTAATATAGATGATAGCTCATTAATTTGAGAATCCGTATGAATTTTTTAGAACAAAACTCAAGATTTGATATAGAGTTTCTCTTTAGTTAAAATAAGTGTTATTATTTTCGAATGACCTTGATAATTCAATTGTTTGATTATTTTCGATTCGCTTTGATAATAAAAATTCTTATTTATGCAAATGATAAAGCATTAAAATTTAACAAGTAAATTTATCATGGAGTAAAGATGTAACAATACTAATGTGCTATTTAAGATTATTACATCAAAACTTTAAACTAAATTAAGATAATGTCGCTCAATTAAATATAATTATCAATTACTAACCTCAAAAAAAAATCTTTATTTTATTAACTTTCTTTTAATAAAAAAAATTATAAAATTTATGTCATAATTTATTAATAATGTGAAGACGAATTGATATTCCATTGATTGATAATTAATTACATATGACTGTTGGTTATATTCTCTCTTTTGCCTTATTATTGAATACGTCCTCCTGCCTTAAAACATTTTAAATGGATTTGATTCAGAATGTTACTCATTGAAAAAAATTGCTAATTATCCTAATTTATTGAATACAAAA